TAGTCCCGAGAGACTAAATTAAAACATTTTACTTCTGAAAATAAAATGATCATATAAGAATGAGTGGGAGACGTATTTTGAAAATTTAGCCCTTTTTATTTTTTAAGGAATTTTGGGAAATTTTGTAGGAGTTTAAAAACCACAATGTATGATATCTAACTACATCCAAACCAATGATAGATAACTACATTTTTATTGAAAAATTGATTTATAAAGTCATGCCATGAAAGAGAGGCCTACACCAGAAATGAGAAAATAGGAAAGTATTCAAAGCGATGGTTTCTCACAGCACTTCCAAGCTAAAATTCAAACGAATTAGAATATATTGGCGTTGCTTCCAGCTCATGCCATGGGCCTATAAGGGTCAGCCAAATCTTGAAAGCTTAACAAATAGATAACAAATGAAAAGATAAATTAAAGGCGCAGGGAAATTGCTATCAGAGTTAGATTATAAAATGCTAAAACAGTCCAACTGATATGGGAATATGATTCAAAATTGAATGGGAGCTTACGCGCAAGCAACCATTAATTAAACTATAGGATCTCTCAATACCGTTTGACTTTTGAGTCCATACATAAGATAGCCTCTATTTTGAATATGCAAAGAATGTGCTTTTATGTTTCGAAAGGAAAAACTCATAATAATTAAAAAGAATAGTTGTGGTGGGAATCCAAATGTGCAAGAAAAGATAAAAATAAGATAGAATTGTTGTAAAAATTGGTTAGATGTAATAATTCTGATCGTTGGAACTATAAAGAGGCTCATAAGAAATATAAGAAAGCTATTTGCAATGCAAAAAGCTTAGTCTCTTATGATTATAATAAATTAGAATCACAAAGGAGGGTGAATGATGTTATGTTATAAATTAGCCAAACAAAGTGATAAGAGTAGTAAGGATTTAGCTTCAAGTGAAGTGGTATTAATGATGAAGATTTCAAAAAATACTTTTCTTAGGAAGAGATATTCAGCAAAAAGGTGGATGGATATTTCTGCTTAAACTTTTTAATTAAGAATGTGAAAATACGATTGACTTTAGTGACTTAGCAACTCTAAAATGAAAATAAAATTTATTTGTTTTTATCTGGGCAATATTAGTAAAACTGAAGTTGAGAGGCTTTAACGAAAATTAAGTGTGAAAAAACCGTTGGACCTGATGATATTCCAATAGAAATGTTGAATGCTTATGAGATGAATGATTCTTAGCTACGTAAACTTTTAATATTGGTTTTGAAGACTAAAAGATGCCAGATCAGTGGAGAATGAGTTGTTGTTAATTCATATTTTTAAGAACTAAAGGTGATTGCACAAAGTGTGCAAGATTTATAAAGTGAAATTAAGTTAATGTTCATACTTTAAAACTTGAGAGTAAGTTATGGAACGTCGGTTGTGACGTGGATACTAATGTTTCTCACAAAATCAATTTGGATTCATGTCGGTTGTTTACATATGTGAAGCCATACATTTATTGAATGTTTGATGCGAGAAATATAGAGAGAATAAAGAAGATCTACATATTATTTTATACTTGATTTAGAAAAAGCATTATGATAAACGTTTCAAGAGAAGGTGGCTATGGAGCAGTTCTTGAAAATAAAAGGAGTTAATAAACGCTTAATTCAAATCATTAAAGATATGTATGCGATGAGCTTATTACTTGTTTCAAACACAAGGTGGTTTGACCAAGTATTCTTCTATTTCGGTGGATACATCCAAGGCATCAGCTTTAAGTCCATAATCTTTTGCTTTTAATCATGGATGTTTCTCACTAGACATTTGCAAAGGATATTCTTTGAGTAATGCCTTTTTGTTGATGAATTCTTCTTGTCGAAAAGACTCTAGAGAGGGAGTTGAAGGTAAACTTTGAATTTGGAGATCACCTTAGAATCTAAAAGATTTTCCACTTGAGTAGATCTAAAACTGAATATAGCGAGTGTAATTTTAAGATAGCAATAGACCAAGTGAGAGGAATGTGACTTTGGGCGATCAAGTCTTAATAGAGAAGTACATGTTTTAGATATCTTGGGATCTATTGTTCAGAGTGAGCGTGAAATAGACGGGGGATATTATCAACATAATCAAGTTGAATGGGTTTGAAGAGGAGGAATGTGCATCGAGCTTTTTTGTGCCGATAGAAAAAAGTCCCCCTCAACTTTAAAGGGAAAAATTCTTAATAAGATGGTGGTGAGACCTACAATGCTTTTTGGTGCCGGAATGT